GTTAGCATCTAGGACAAATACTTATAAATATAAAGAATATAAAATGTCTAAGTATACATATATTATAAGTTTTATTCTGGTGCAAGCCAGAAATGATATCTAAGTGTATCTTCCTTTTTCACTCCAGTTATGGTTGAAAACTGCATAAAAAGCCATATGACTTCTCCAGTGTCAGTTTTTATTATAAACCCACTATATTCCCCCCCCCCCCAAAGATAGTAAACAGTAAAATAACTTACTTAAAATTATTATATTAATTATTGATAAATTAATTTTTGTACAACTGTTTTGGCTGATTTGTGTTTTGATATATATGAAAGAATCTGCGGTATTTATTTAATATTTGGTATTCGACTGGTATGTATAAGTACCTGGCAGAAACGAATAAAAGAACATTTCGAAGAGAAGATGTGCACCTCTTTCCAAGCTGGAAATATGGTATTTCCAGGTTTATGTTTCTTTATTACATACATATAAAATAAAATGATGAGAAATATATTGATGAAATTAAATGCTTATTTTCACTTTCCTTATTTTCACTGCAAAAAAAAATATTTTCCACTGCAGTGAAACATATTTTCACCGGTGTCTTGCCAGACTAATTTCTGCTATATTCAGCCGAGTTAGTCTTTCATATTGTGATGTTCAAAAAAGAGAAATGCATATAATAAACAAGTAAATTTAAGTATTTTCTATAAATAGTTTGTAGTATGAACATTATCATGTTTCACTTGTGGCAACCACCACTCATGAAATATTTATGTTTATACCACGCAATGAAAATAAATATTGTATTTATAGAAAAAACTTGGCTATTCCTCTATTTCTTTCAGTTATAATTTAATGTTTATTACCTGACTGTAAATGACTTGAAAAGTGAAAACTTGATTACAATTCTAAAGATCATGTTTATGATTGAAACATGTTTTTTGGGGTTATACATTATTTGGAAATATAAAATGTTGAGCACCTAACTATGGTTAGTTTGAACTTGCAGGAAAATTTATTGTGTAGCATTGCTGTAAGATTATAGTTTGGTGCTTAAAATAATTTTGGTACCCAATCATTCCTGCAATAGTGTATTCTGCAACCAGTGATTGCTTGAAAAGAATGTGTAGATCTCCTCTGCTAAAACGAAAGATCTTCTAGCATGTAAGTTTATAGGACAGCACAGTGTAGTTAAAAGGCACAGACACTTGGGATGTGGAGCTCCTGTGTGTGTATTATTTTAGAACTTGAAATATGATTTTTTTTTTTCAAAACAGCTTATATTATTTTTTTAAATATTATTACCAGTACATGTGCTGGGATTGACAAAGATATATATCTTATTTGATTTTAAAGGCACCCCAAGTGTCTGTGATAAAAGGTATCTATCACAGGGACACAGCCCAGTGTTGGGAATAGTGTAAAAAAGTAATTCTGAAAAATTATATATATAACTGTATATCTAATAAAGTCTATATATTATATATACAGTATATATATATATTTTTTAGAAATTACCTTTTTGACACTAGAATTACCCTTTTTACACTATCCCAACACTGTGCTGGGTCTGTCACAGTGTGGTATCTAATAGGTTTAAAGCACCAGCCTGTTCAAGTATTACCCTAAGTAAAATTAATTAATACCCGCTGGTGTTATTTTTTATCACAAAACGTCTGTTGATAATTTCTTAACAGATCATAAGGATTATTTGAACGGATGCAGTTCGTGGCCGAGATGATCGACTCGGTCGAGTTCATTTAGGGCCGAACAAGATGATTTCAATTAACTACTCGGCATTTGTGTAATTCACTCATAGATGGACAGCAACATTCACTATTGTATGTTTTTATTTTAAAAACATAAGGAGTGGTCCATTAGTTACTTCATAGTAGATCTATGCAAAATATAAAAATCCAAATTAATTTGTAGAAATCATGAACATCCGAGCGGCTATTTTAAAGCCGAAACATTGATTAAAATTGTTATTATTTACTCGTAAAAACAGTCAAACTTCTTCGCTTTAACCATTACTTTATTGATGCAATGGAATATTGACAGTATTTAATTTAATTGCAACAGGAAATGTTCTCCACTAAAATAGTCTTACGTTTCTCACGTCTGACATTTTTCACGACCCTCCCGTGAGATTCGTAAGATCTTACATTTTTCACGGGTCTGACGAATCTCACGCTACACCGGATCACGGCGGTAAGCCACATTGAATTTATTAGAGCACATTTCAGCCAACGCATCATTCCTTGGTAGTCATTCAGTATACCAGTACTAACTAGCTGCCTCCACTATCGCAATGTACTGTATTTTATGTACATGCCAGAACAGAGGTACAGTGCGAATGACCGTAGAAAGGATTTCATGATCAATCATAACGCAGTTGACCAGCACCGTCCTGGAATCGAACCCGGGGTGAGTAACCAGAAGCACTCGTTAGAGTTACGATCATGTCAAGCTCTAGTTAGTAATTTACCCTCTAACCCAAAGCGTTCGTTATACCAAAAATTGTAACGAAACTGTCGTTAAATAACGAATACCTCGGTGTACACGTTAGACCTTCGTTGAAGGAAAAACAGCATGTCAAGCTCTTTCAACAAACTTTTTCTGAGTATAAATTATTTTTATAGCGTATTTTCTTTCTATTTTCCTGATAATAAGTCCTTGATATGGTGTTTCAATCTGTATATGGGTTAATGTGTAAAGTTATTATTATTTAATTATTTATTCATTTATCTATTTATTATTATTATTACGTTGTATTATTATTATTATTATTATTACTGCATTCATTTTCAAAATAATAACAATAATAATAAATGGCGCATACCGTACTCATTAAACTTGAGTGAGCATTTCTTTCGTAAATGATTTTTAGAATAATTCCAAATATCTTTATACAAATGTTGTTGTTTTTTTCATTCCGCAGACAATGGCCGCCATGCTGCTGGAGTAATTAGATAACTGACAGACTTGGACTCTCATATATATGAATGCTTTTAAGGAGGTTGATTTATTTCATCAACTGACATAGAGAATAGAGAATAGAGACACGTAAAAATGATTGAAAAACTGTACTAACATATCTACATTCAAACTTGGAGAAAGTTTCTTTTTTGTTTCAGTATAATATTATATTAAAGTTTCAAGTTTTTAATACTTTAAGGACTTATAACTTATACTATTCTATGTACAAAGTGATATTAAGGAATTCAGCATAATTCATGTGCAACGAAAGGGCGTAACACAGTATATGTATAAATTTTGACGTTTTTGGTTATAATGAAATTCATCGGAGTATTTTATTAATAAAACCATTTTATACGTTTCATATACTTTAAATTTATGGTTTACCTCTATTTTCATGAAAAGTAAATATGATTAATCGAAACTTGCTTTGTTTTCCCCCAATGTAATTTTAAAACTAGCAACATACGAAGATTTATTAAATATTTTCACCAGTATGTAACAAAGGTTATGTAAAGAACGTTTTACAGAAAAGCAGTTCATTCCTCTATTTGCACCATTAAAATCAACAAAAAAATTACGTTACTATTTAGCGTCAATATTTTTGAAAGAGTTCTTCGCAAGCATCGATTAAGATATTATTGCCATTGGCCAATAATCATAAAGTTTGAAACTATTTTATTACCTTATTCTTAAAAAGATATTTCACATTTATTAAAAAATTGATACTTTACTTAGGAAATATAATTAACAATTTCTCTTATATTGTGTATAAATCTTTATTCATGTACATTTTATCACAAAGAAATATCAAATCATATATTGATATTATATATTCAGCATATAAGAGATTATTTTACTTTTTCTATCATTGTATATTTATCTTAAAAAGTATCAAAATTTTGTTGTTTTTTTATTAACATTTACTCTTAAATAGTGCACTCTTCTTTTTCATCACACACATATAACCAGTCAAGACCGAAATATTCTGCATCTTAAAGATGAGGCAATGAACGTCTTTTGTATTTAGTTGCAAATCCAAAATGTTCAGTTGTTTCCTGTCTATATATTTTGCTAGAAACGTTGTATAATGTTTAGAGCAAATAAACTTTATTGTATTGTATTGTATTGGTAAATTTAATTAATCTTTACATATTAATATATATGTCTGTATTAAAAAACATACAAATTCCATTAAACATTTTTTCTGTAAATTGCAGATATTTTCTGATGATATATCTGTGAAATAAACATGTATATTTAATTACGTTTAAAACAGTTTATCCTAAACACTATAATATCAATTTTTGTTGATTTGAAATAACGTTTTAGTATAATTACTGAAGCTCGCACTATATATAACGTCATTAAAATGTAACGTGGCATTGTCTTCGAAGTTTATTTTAATTCATTGAAAATTTGCATTTAAATTGTATTTTTTATGCATTTCCATCAATGTATTATCACACTTAGTATGATTATGTACTATGTACATGTGAAAATAAAATAATGTTCTGATCTGTTCTGTTCTGTTCTGTTCTGTATTGTATTGTATTGTATTGTATTGTATATCCGGATTGATTTCGTTAGATGCGTTTTACGGCCAATGTTTGATATACATACATAGAGACAAACATACAAAAAGATTTATAAAGAGGGTCAACTGTTTCTTTGAAACAGTTGTGCGTTCATAGATATATGGTTGTACATTTGTACAAATATATTTAAACAATTTATAAACAATTTATAAACAATTTATAAACAATTATTTGTATGTGCAATGAAATCTATACAGGAAAAGCTTAATACAGGTGGTGCCAAAATGCTGTGTATACCCTTAACGATTACACAACGATTCCGTTAATGAATTTTACTAACGACTGATTAGCGATACTGTAACGATGCTTTCTGGTTATGCAACAAAAACAATCGTAAAAATAACTAACGTGTTCGTTACGCGATCGCTAACGCTTTCGTTAGCGTGATTTTAACGAAAGCTTCTGGTTACCCAGCAGGCACATCAACGTTGTTTCAACGTTGAATTTTGGTCAGATTTCAACGTTGAAATAAGGTTGGATTTATATTCGGATTTGAAAGTTGAAACAACGTTGAAATTTCAATGTCATTTCAACGTTGAAAACCCACCATACTTTAATTTTTGGATATAAAGCAAAGTAACCAAGTTTAACAAAATATCAAGAAAATATTAAATACTTCAGATATTTTATTTCAAAAATACAGTTCAAGTGCAGCTTAAATTCACTTAAATAGTTTTATCAATTCAGCTTCAATCTGTTCCAATCTTTTCTTCTTGATCTTTCTGGGTATGTCAAGTGTTTGAGTACTTCTTTGGCTGTCTCTAACTGCTTCTGCAAATAAAAATAAGAAGTTTGTAGTTAAAAGTGACTTGGTCAATCTCAAATTATACATATAATTACTCAACTTAGTGATTTGTTTTTATCTTAAATGCTTTTCAATAAGATTTACATCATAAAACAGCATAGAAATTGAAACATAGCTAAGTTTGATATTGACAGCAAATACTGAATATAAGACAACAAAATCTTTTTAAAAAGAAGCTATTTAAAAGTCTCACCTATGATTGGTAAGAAAAACTGCACCCCGTCAGTTCCTTGCAGCATATTCCCAAGAAATTAACATTCTAGGCTCTAGCTTAGACCATTTTATGCAGCATCCTGAAATCAACAAACATGTAAATTTTATACATGTTGTATTAATAATGTTACAGGAATATTCTGAAAAAATATATTTTAAGACAAGATAAAAATCCAGTAGTTGAAAAATTTATTCTTTGTATTGTAAAGAAATTCAAATAAATAAATTAATAAGAATAAATTTCAATTTAACAAACCTGACAGTCCTTTTCATGTTGAATGTATGGTATACAGGCTACAGCGAATGTATGGTGTACAGGTTACAGCGAATGTATGGTATACAGGCTACAGCTGCAGTACTCTAAATTTCAGCCAGGACCAGGATCTAGAATATAAAATAATATATAATAAAATAGAAATAGATTTATTATTCCCCTTAAATTTACGACTATTAAACTTTAAAGTTAAACACTCAAATTTGTTTCTTAACTTAATAATAATCATTATAATGTATTTTTTCAAACTAATTAACACTGTATTATACTATCAATTAAATATAAGCATAGTTATATATATTGACGAATCGTCTTCGGACGTAAATTAAGTGGGCCGAACTACTTTATAGGTTTCAATTTTAAAATTGATTAAATTCTAAATAGGATATAGTACAGACAAATGTTTAATAATCTGCAATATAAATTAAAGAAAGACAAGATTTGTTAAATCATAAATTGCCAAGGACATCAATAACTTCATGCTTACAAGGCCTACCGAACCCAAATCATTCAATTAGGTCGCGAAAACGTGTTAAATCACCTCAATCATGTGTTTATATCTCTCATTTATTTCATAAAGTAAATTAATGTAGAATTTAAAGAATAAATAATAATATTTTAGAAAATAATCAGTAAACTAAAGTAAAACATAACGGTAATACCTTCGAAATCCAAATAAATTGCCAATCGTGTTGTTTTCAAATTTTTCCAAACAGCGCCACCATTTGCACGAACGATAATCATAGACCCGCAACAATTACTTCCCCTGACCGGCGTTATTTTATAAACGGGGTTTTGACTAATACCAATTTATTAATTAATATTATTCATAAAGAACTAAAAAATAAAACAACAAACATAAAAACATATTAACTAATATCTAAAACGTTAATAGAAAGTGAAAAATTATTTCCAACTTTATTTGTTTAAGCGCTAATTTTGAATATACGGAAAAAGATTGTAACGCAAATTTTCCTGACAAAAATCACTTACAGACTTATTCAATAAAGGAATAATATCACACAATCAGTGGTGTTAAAGTTTATATTATGATTAAAATAAATGTAAAACTTCGACCATAAACAACGTTGAATCAACGTTGTATATACATTTGCAATATATCCGTATGGTCGTCCATAGTTGAATATTGGTTGAACAACGTCACGACCATATTTCAACGTTGTTTCAACGTTGAAACAACGTCTAGTGCCTGCTGGGTAGTCACCTCCGGATCGCCTGATTCACTGTCCAACGCTCTACCTATTGAGCTCACAAGACAGTGCAGAAAAAGTTTAATTAAGTGGAAAAAAATAAAACTAAGTCTTTAGAAAACGTTTTATATTTTCGCAAGTTGTCAGTTTGAATTACACAAAATTTGAAATCAAATGACAAAAATTTAACGGCTCAATGCATGAGATTCATCGCAAGAACGCAACCTGCCGACATTTGATCTTCGGTGAAATGCAGTAGACCGTGACACTGTCGGTAGTTGCGAAATACACAAATTTCACAAAACCGCAAAATGTTTACATCATAAAAATAAAAATACGTTGTTTCAAGGCTAACGACAAGATATTACCAGCAATTTAAAGCGGCTACCTCTTGATCAGTATCATTAAAGTTACGAAAAGTATGGTCTGAGTTGAAGAAATGCATATTTATTCATAACTGGTTTAAAGTTTTGCATGTTTCACATATTATGACTGATTTCCAACTTATTTTTCACAATTTTTTCACTGTCCCGAGCAAAAAAGAACTACACATGTATTTTTAGTTAAGATACATTTTACCTAATTTGTATGACTTTTTATAGTCTTATTCTATATGTACAAATTGTACAACGATTTTATTGTTAAGAGCACTTCATCGGCATTGGGTTAAGGTCGTTGACTTTAAAGCCACTTGCCCTTTACCGATGTAGGTTCGAATCCCGCCAGACACTTTGGATTCCTTCTTGCGAGGTAGTTATTCATATGAGTTATGGAACGTCGGTGGTTCTACTCAGGTGCCAATTCGTGCCTTTAATTATGCACGGAGGGGCACCTGAAGTCTTCCTCCAAATTTAAAGCTGGAAAGTCGCTATTTGTTTTTAACAATGTTAGTGCGACGTAAATCGAACAAATAAAAAACAAACAAAAATAACTTCAGCAGCAAAAGTTTTCATAAAAATAGTAGGTATCTTGAGTTGTGCCGTTTTAAAGGAATAAAGATTCAGGGTTATAATCCGAAAAGGTAAAATGGCGGAGCGGATAGTTTACGGTGGGGTGGCGGATTTTGGCGATTTTTCCGTTAGTTGAAATTTCATGTAATTACATAGTGTAGTTACATAGTAACGGCGGAATGGTCCCTTACTGCATTTGATAACGCAACTTTCTGATCTCAAATTTTAAGACATTTTCACTCAATTAAAAACTAATTGAACGGTAGACAATTGTAAAGTCAAAGTACTAAAACGTTACTTTTTTTAATTATTTTCCCTGGTTATTCGCTTTTTCATGCTTTACCGCCCATTTTCTGATTTCAACTGCCTATTAACTCGGATAAATTGTCAAAGAAAATCTTACACATCCAAACATTATTTAACAATATAATAATTAGGTAAAATAAATGAAGAAAACACTTACATGTCTTCAAAATAACAAGGAATAATCCTGTAAAAATTAACATTTTCAAAGCAGACGTGTTTAAATGTTATCAAAGTAATATTTTCTTTCTCTCACTTATGCGCCTTTTTTTATTTAAAACTTCCTGTTTGTCACTCCTTTATTCGTGGGTAACCAAGCGTTAAATCTTTCTCGATGATGGGATTGTACTGGGGATTTCCCTTTTTGTAAATTCAACCTGAACATCTTGGCTATTACTCACATTTCTAATTTAAAGTTTGACGAAGATGCAACGTTTGCTTATTTTTCAGCATTGCATCATTTATCCGAATATTTGTTATACATCAGTCAACTGCATTCCCCATCCTCGTGGAATAGCGGGGTCTGAATTTATATTTTATCAGGGCCCTTCCTGCCAGGATAGTCAGAAAAAACTACTTAATAAGATGGACGTGATATTTTTGTGCCAAAAACAAAAACCATCGCAATGGACCGTTACTGTGAGGGCAGACATAATGTTACAGTCTTAGCGAATTTCGTAAACTGGTGCTACAATTGATTGATACATGATCAGTACTTTCTAACATAGAGAAAGTGCACCTTCTTGCGAAGCACGAAGACCAATTCAAACCATGAGCCCGCAGGATGAATCTGACGGCTACCGCAGGGTTTAATGTATGAAAAAGGTGCATAAACGTTATTCTTTGATGAAAGTATATATCTAAATAGGAAATTTTCATAATCATAAAGAAACCATGTTGCCATGCTTTCCACGAGCTAGTGCGATGTCATTTGACAGTTTATGTTTTGATAATAATACTTTCAGGGCCGCCATTTTACATTTGGCAAATTAAAACCGTGCGGTCACGAGAATCTACCAATTAATGAGTTAATGGATACCTGCGGGCGGAAGAATATCAGTTATATTATGAATTTATTTTTTCACCTGTTTATAGTCTCTATAATAATAAAACGTAACATAAGTTTATTAATAACAGCACGATGATTAAGCAATAAGATTTTACATGCATGCATAAAAAGTATGTAAAATATGAACTTCCTCCCGGTTTCGGCATTTAAGAGCTTATACAAAATATTACCGGTTTTATTTACAATACAACTAAAGTGACAGTGAACTTTAAATAACTGATATGTTATCTATCATGATGTATAGCTGAATGATGTCCTATATTTTTATCCAATGAAATTGCAGGATTAATCCATATCCCTTAAGTATTTTTACACGGACTTTATTTTAAATTCTGACTATTAGCGTTAAGATATACTACGTTCATGTCGACGGATTTTTTTTATTAATATCAATTCTTATTAATAAAAACCGCAATAAGTTGCAATTAATGCAATTAAATGTAATATTTAAAACAATTACGCCATCCCGGATCTTGATTTACAAGTTCAATGCCCACATCTTCCATTTTAAATTTATCACCTTGTTTACGTTAATCGTAATTAGCTGGTATGTGAGAAGTTAGCAGTTAACAGTGAGCTAAGCAAAAAGGCATTGCAATTTATATAGGGAAATCAATGATCTGCTGCTATGCTCAGCTTGGTAAGCAATCTAGCGGGACATTCCAAAATATAGTGCGAAAAATGCTCTGCTCCTATGCTCAGCTGGGTAAAGAATCTAGCGGGACATTCCAAAATATAGTGCAAAAAATGTTCTGCTTGTATGCTCAGCTGGGTAAGCAATCTCGCGGGGCATTCCAAAATATAGTGCGAAAAATGCTCTGCTCCTATGCTCAGCTGGGTAAACAATCTAGCGAGGCACTCCAAAATATAGTGCGAAAAGTGCTCTGCTGGTATGCTCAGCTGGGTAAGCAATCTAGCAGGGCATTCCAAAATATAGTGCGAAAAATGCTCTGCTGGTATGCTCAGCTGGGTAAGCAACCTAGCGGGGCATTCCAAAATATAGTGCGAAAAATGCTCTGCTGCTATGCTCAGCTGGATAAGCAAACTAGCGAAGCATTCAAATTAATGATCTGCTGTTATGCTCAGCTGGGTAAGCAATCTAGCGGGGCATTCCAAAATATAGTGCAAAAAATGCTCTGCTGGTATGCTCAGCTGGGTAAGCAATCTAGCGAGGCATTCCAAAATATAGTGCGAAAAATGCTCTGCTGGTATGCTCAGCTGGCAAAGCAATGTAGCGGGGCATTCCAAAATATAGTGCGAAAAATGCTCTGCTGGTATGCTCAGCTGGGTAAGCAAACTAGCGGAGCATTCAAATTAATGATCTGCTGTTATGCTCAGCTGGGTAAGCAATCTAGCGGGGCATTCCAAAATAAAGTGCGAAAAATGCTCTGCTGCTATGCTCAGCTGGGTAAACAATCTAGCGGGGCATTCCAAAATATAGTGCGAAAAATGCTCTGCTGGTATGCTCAGCTGGGTAAGCAATCTAGCGGGGCATTCCAAAATATAGTGCGAAAAATGCTCTGCTGGTATGCTCAGCTGGGTAAGCAATCTAGCGGGGCATTCCAAAATATAGTGTGAAAAATGCTCTGCTGGTATGCTCAGCTGGGTAAACAATCTAGCGAGGCATTCCAAAATATAGTGCGAAAAAAGCTCTGCTGGTATGCTCAGCTGGGGAAGCAATCTAGCAGGGCATTCCAAAATATAGTGCGAAAAATGCTCTGCTGGTATGCTCAGCTGGGTAAGCAATCTAGCGGGGCATTCCAAAATATAGTGCGAAAAATGCTCTGCTGCTATGCTCAGCTGGGTAAGCAATCTAGCAGGGCATTCCAAAATATAGTGCGAAAAATGCTCTGCTGGTATGCTCAGCTGGGTAAACAATCTAGCGGGTCATTCCAAAATATAGTGCGAAAAATGCTCTGCTGGTATGCTCAGCTGGGTAAGCAACCTAGCGGGGCATTCCAAAATATAGTGCGAAAAATGCTCTGCTGCTATGCTCAGCTGGATAAGCAAACTAGCAGAGCATTCAAATTAATGATCTGCTGTTATGCTCAGCTGGGTAAGCAATCTAGCGGGGCATTCCAAAATATAGTGCGAAAAATGCTCTGCTCCTATGCTCAGCAGGGTAAGCAATCTAGCGAGGCATTCCAAAATATAGTGCGAAAAGTGCTCTGCTGGTATGCTCAGCTGGCAAAGCAATGTAGCGGGGCATTCCAAAATATAGTGCGAAAAATGCTCTGCTGGTATGCTCAGCTGGGTAAGCAAACTAGCGGGGCATTCAAATTAATGATCTGCTGTTATGCTCAGCTGGGTAAACAATCTAGCGGGGCATTCCAAAATAAAGTGCGAAAAATGCTCTGCTGCTATGCTCAGCTGGGTAAACAATCTAGCGGGGCATTCCAAAATATAGTGCGAAAAATGCTCTGCTGGTATGCTCAGCTGGGTAAGCA